AAATTCTAAATCCAATGGTAGAAAATATTATCACTTTAATGGACAATTCGTATAAAAAACGAAGCCAAATGGACACCAAAATTTCAACATTTTCCATGAAAAATTATACTAATCAAACACAATTAATTACAATTCCAGTAAAAGCAAATCAATTCCCTACAAAATATTTTTTTTCCACTCATTTTCACTTTTGCAATCAAACGGACCCTTAGTGTTTCATTCAAAGTGTCAATTCCTACTTCTCAGTCATTCTAGAGTCAATTTTTCTTGCCAAATCTTTGCTTGAAACTCTCAAAGATTGAATTTTGATTGTGATCGAATTAGTTATTTGAAACGCTTGCAAGAAAGCATTGAGTGGAAAAAATGCAACAGTGGTAAGACTAATTGAGAGAAAATGCCAATTTGAGTGATATACATGTATACACGTGAGGCAAATATTAAATTAGATTTCGAAATGTTGTTTGAGGATGTGAGAGACGGATTGCATAGCAGGATACATTGCTCGCTAATTTATGTGGAGAACAATCTAAAGAAATTCCTAACGTAAAGAGGTAAGGAATTTGGGATCATAGAACATATTTCATAAATGAAGAGGCATTGATGTCGAATTAGAAAGAACGAGAAATAGATGAGTTAGGTATGAAAGGAGGGGTAGACTTGTTGGAGATGGTGTTGATAGAAGTATGAAAAATGTCAAAATGACAATTCATTCATTCAAATGAATGAGTGATCCGGATGTATACTTAGAGGGAGAAAAGAAAGTAGAGATGATATTTGATTGCCACAACTACTCGGAGGAAAATAAGGTAAAAATTGCGGCACTTGAATTTATCGACTATACTATCAATTGGTAGGATCAAGTAGTAACATCTAGGAGGAGAAATCATGAGAGGCCTATTAATACATGGAAAGAATTGAAGACTATCATGCAGAAAAGGGTTTGTGTCTAATCATTATTATAGGGAACTTTATAAAAAATTGCAAAGCCTCTACCAAGGTTCCAGGAATGTGGAGGATTATCACAACGAGATAAAGATTACTATAATTAGAGCAAATGTTGAGGAAGATAGTGAGGTCACTATGGCCTACTTTTTGAATGGTTGTATTGGGAGATAGCTAATGTGGTAGAATTGCGACATTATGTGGAGTTGGAAGACATGCTAAATATAGCTATGAGAGTGGGAATACAATTGAAGTGGAAGGGGACATCTAGATATTCATTGGATTCTTCGGGTTCTAACTCTTCTCGAAAATAATAGAGGTAATGGGGCTGTTTCAAGTAGTAAGACCAAACTACCAAGGGGAAAAGAAAAAGTTGTTAGTTACACCTAAAACGGACTCCCAACCTTCTAAGACTCGGGATATCAAATACTTTAACAGTTTGGGACCGGGGCACATTGCTTCTTAATGTCAGAATATAAGGGCAATGATTTTGCGTGACAATTGAGAAGTAGTGAATGATAGTGATGGTGATGATATGATATGCTCACGTTAGAGGATGTTAATGATGGAGGTGGAATAGAGTACCCGCTAGGAGGTGTGTTACTTGTGGTGATGCGTGCTTTCGATACACAAATTAAATTAAATTATGTGAAGCAACAACATGAGAACATCTTCCGTACTAGATACCATGTCAACAATAAGGTATATAGTTTGATTATTGATGGGGTAGTTGTACTAATATTACTAGTACCAAACTTATTGAGAAATTAGAATTGACCATGACAAAACATCCTAAGTCTTATAAATTGCAGTATTTAGATGAATTTGGAGAGATTAGGATATGTTCCGTTCAAAACCACTTTTTCTCAATAGGGAGGTATAGTGATGAAGTGATGTGTGATGTGGTTCCTATACATGCTGGACACATTTTGTTAGAAAGGTAATGTAATATGATAGGAAGGTTAAACATGATAGATTCAAGAATATGTACAACTTTGTAAAAGATGGTAGAGATGTTACTCTTGTACCATTAACACGGCAACATGTTTATGATGACCAATTGAGATTAAGAAGTGAGGAAGAAAAGAAAAACAAAGAAAGAAAGGTGAAAGGAAATTAGGAGAAAAGATAGTGAGGTGGCTATTGTGAGAAAAAAGAGTAGAGCTATGAGAGAGAAAAGAAATAGTCTATTAAGAGGAGAGAAAATCAAAAGTGAGTTTCTATACAAAAAATGTGAGATTGAGAGGGCTTTAGTGAAAACTAACGAATCTGTTCTGAGTTTGGATATTTCTTTATTGCAGGAATTCAAAGACTCGTTCCATGAAAACTTATTTAGTGGGATACCATTAATTGAGTATCCAATTGATTCGATGCAAGTAGTGAATTTGATGAGTATTGAAGGAGAAGCACTCAACTATGACATGGTAAAGAATCAATACCTCATACATATGTTAAATGATGGTCTAGTACGTAGTCATTTTTTTCACCTGGGGCATTTACTTTTACACATATTAATGCATCTAATATTTCTATGAGAGTAACAAGTCATTTGTCATATGCATTCATAGGCAGTCAATTAGTAGTTAATGATATTCTAATATGTAGTAGAAAATTAATTGAGCATGATAGACATTGGTGGTGCATTGTTGGTGATTTGAGGCATGAGAATCTATATTTCAATCTTGAAGTCCTTAACCATTTTGGATAGAAGTTATGGAATAAGTTGGGAACCAATTAGTATCCTCAACTATTTGTATTACACGATTTGATAGAGTAATGCTATGCATCCCCACTAGGAATGAAAAGACAGTCTACGTGTCGTTAATGTGGCATTAAATGAGAGGTAAAATTAAATAAGTCATTTAATTTCACATTTCATTTAACATATCATTTAAAGCCATATAAACTGTGTTTTTATCCCCACTGAGGATGAACAACATTACTCGATTTGATATAGTTTATGGTTTAAATCCTTTAGCTTTGTATGGTTTAATTCTTTTAACTCTTTTCATAAGTGGTAGCTTAGATAGAAAACAAGGGATTGAATTATATGCATCTTAAGGTAACAAAAGGAAGAAGCTTAAAGTATTCAAACCAGGTGATTGGATTTGGGAGTTTAGGCAAAAATGGCTTATTCGAATACAAAAAAGCTCAAGATTACATACTAGAAGAGATAAACCATTCCACATCATTGAAAATATTGAAACCAATGGCTACAATTTGGATCTCAAAGGTAAGTTTATGATAATTTTCATTTTTGTTGTTTCTTATCTTTCTCTCTTTCATGCAGATACATAATCGAGGTCAAATCCTTTCAAAGTGGGAAGGGATGATAAGATCCTTGATACGAGAACAAATTCAGGCAATGATTTGTTGATCGTTGAGGAAGGGTCTATGACTTGGTCATGAGCGAGCGAGTCAAAGAAGCAATGTGATTACTTGCTCAAGCCACAATGAACGAAACATTGATCATGTCAAGTAAATGGACAAGTTTCATAATGGGCATGTGAGATGAAATGAAGTGGATCAACTTGGTGCAAGCAACAGGTGAGATAACTGACTGGCAAAGCTATGCGACTGCACAGCATACCTATGCATGCGGTCGCATGCACTCATACCGAATCAAATTGAGGGCAGTTGAAGTGGCCTATGCGATTGCATGTAATTTCACTATGTGGCCGCATAGTACATTCTTGGACGCGAATTTTTCAAATTTCGCGCAATCTTAAATTTTAGTTAAAACTCTATTTTTGTGATATATTTTGTTATTTTTAAGGTTTAATTCCATTTTTAAGTAGGTTTTATGAGTTCCATATAAATATGACAAATTTCATTTATTGTAAAAAATATACAATTTGAGAGACATTATTGTAAGGTATTATTGGTTTCTTCTTGTTTTTTCATCCAATTTATTCTGTACTTATGAAGATTATTTCTTGTGGCATTCAAACAAATCGAATGCGATTTTTGAGTCTTGTAATCGCGGGGTCAACTTATTATCGNACAAATCGAGTGAGATTCTTAAGTCATGTAATCGCGAAGTCAACATTTTGTCAACAATTGTGTTGGTTTCTTGGTTCAATTTTTTTTAATCAAGTTTAAACATTGATGCTTGACTTTCTTGGGATTCAATTAATCTTGTGTGGGTTTTGTAATTTCAAGTTCCATGTGGGTTCACGTCACATTATGAGGCAAGATTATTGCTTAGTTTTATGATTATTTTATTCTTCTTTTATTTTCTGGGTTTGCTCAAAAATGTATAAAAAAATTATGATAGTTTTCTTAAATAGTTTCAAGTACCAAATAGGATACGTTACTATTTTGTTAATTTTATTGGTTGTTGCTGTCGGCTATTTTTCTGGTTTTGATTGTTTAGGGTGGGGATGGTGTTGATTTCTGGTTTTATAGGATGGTATGATGGTTGGGGTGGCTGACTATGGTCGATGGTGACGATTTTGATTTGTTTGGGATGGGATGGGATGGGATGGGGTGAAGTTTTGTTTATAATCTTGTTTTTGAATTTATTTTTTAACTTATTGGACGTGAGGAAAATATAAAGTAACAATTTTGCCATTTCTAATTTGGTCAATTTTTGATTTTTTTTTTTATCAACTAATGGTAAATTTCCATCAATTTGGACCTCAATTGCTAATTTATCAAAGGTTTGAGACTTTTCTTGACACAAATTGAAGGTTATAGTAAACTTTACAAAAAATGCTTCTGCAATTTTCATACTGTAAGAATATCTTGAACGATCTAATCATGCTTAACAATCCTATATAGTAATTAGATCAACGCGGAATTGAAGAATTGGACCAAAAACGTACCTCCCGCCATTGCTGTAGTCTCGTACACGCTCGAGGGTAATGGAGATGATTTATTGAGGGTCTTCTAAACCTTATCTCTCTCTAAACAGA